AAAAAGAAAAAAAAGAATGGCTATTAATTTGATGAATCCATTTGTATATTTTTTAAATAGGGTTTCACTATGCATAATTTTTTTAGTTTCTTTCAAGTTGGGAGACGACGCTGGTGTAGCGAAAATGGTGGTCTTGTGGTTTGCGATGGCAGTGGGCAATGGTGACATAACACTTTTGGCTTACAATTGCTAGCCGTGACAATGATTTTGTTAGTTATGGTGATTTCGATGGTGATGATATTGAAAAAAGGTGATCGAGGATGCGAAACAGAGGACGGTAAATATGTTATGAAAAGCGTCGTTACCTTTGTAACACATAATTTAATAAAAATTGGAACAGTTATGTTACCAGTATTTTGATTAAAAAAAAAAAAAAAATTTGTCGTCTTTTGTGAATTATAGTTTGTTTCTTAAGGATTGTGCTGGACCTTCTTGCCTCCTCAAAATTGGGCCATGTGATAGTCCGAAAATATCTTGGCCTTCATTCTCTGACCGCTGGACTGAGGGGTTGTCAACCGATATCAAGATTTCCTCTGTTTTTCTCTCTCAAGACACCATTTCAGTCTACAATCCAAGGTAATTTTAATAAATGCACGTAATTATTTTTGAAACCCAGCTGAAATCGTCTCTTTTTTATTCACTTTCTTGAATTACTAACTAAAATTATGGGTGCCTGTGTTTTTTCTCTCTTTTCTCTTAAAAATTGCTATTGGAGGAAATTCAGAACTTGGCTGATTGAATTAGTATTTTCTGGAACTATAATTGAATTTCTTAGCATACCAATTGTGTATTGAGATTCAACCTTGATGTAATCCGATTGGATTTTACCTCGATATGCCCCAAATAGTTTCTCGTTCGATCACACTGATACTAGACATCGAATTGCTTGTTTGAGCCTTTTAGACTCTAATACCGAAGTGAGGTGAGTCTCGGGCTCCAATCTTAGAAGGTTAAAGAGTAGCCATGTTTTCAATTTAAGTGGTTGTAGATTTTACTCTTTAACAGTATTATTCTGACGTGTTCGATAAATTTCAGGTTCCTGTTTTTACATAGTGTTATTTATTTTTTATTTTTTAATAATATCATACAGAGAGGGATGCTAGGAAAATCATTGGCTTCTCCTTTGCTGACATTTTATTCCACAGTGGGCATCTGCTCTTTTGTGAGTGCTATTTCCTTCAATGTTCTTCCCTCGAAATTTATAAATTCTCTATTATTATGAGATTTTTTATTTTAGCTTCCATTTTTTAGTACCAGTAATTTCTTAACAGATTTATGAAAAAATTGAACCTTTATCGGATAAAAAGAAAAATATGACACAAGCTATATATCAAAAACCATATGTATTATTCCTGAAGAAATATATGTTGAAATGTGTGAAAACTTCTATTGCAGTAATATTACTATTTCTCGGAAATAATATTTAGAATGCTAGAACATGCATCATAACTAAAACAGTTAAAAGTGATTTTACTTCTAACATTTGGAGTAGTCAGTTATATACCATGTAAAGAAAATTAGACTTTTATTTCTTTAATGAATACATCCAGATCATGATGATTTTCGACCTCTCTGGCTTGAAAATTTTTTCTTGCCAAAGTTAATTCATCTGATAATGACACGTCACAACTCTCCTGCAGTTCGTCATGACAAGGAAAATGGGTCTCTCCTCGTTAATGTCTCTCTAGTAGTGATGAAAATACTAGTTATGGATTAATAGGGTTGAAACAAGCTAGTTCATGCCTCCAGTGATCTGAGATTTATATATGGGGCATTAGGATTTATATACGGATACCCATAAAACTGTCTTAAATTTGCTTCGAGCCAGCTTAGATTGAGATTTATATGCCATGAACCTCTTAGTGAAAAGGAAATTATCCCGTTATTACTTTAGCGATTACTGTATAGGCAAAGTAGCTCACTTTTCTTTAGCCCATGAAAATATTGGCTCATAACTTTCCCTCCCTACGTCCTTGTTCAATTCATTTCTCTTCTGAGTTGGCCCAGTCATAAATGTCAAATTTCCTCTTTCATTCCTCTATTTGTGTTAAAAAAATATATATATTCCACTGTATATCCCTCCCAAAGCTAAAGATGTGCTATTATTACCCCTGCCAACACTTGAACAATACCTTGTGCATTTGCACCACCCTTCTATTTTTAGCAGAGCTTTATCTCCTCATTTCTTATGATACCTTGTATTTTTGTAGTCAAGTCGATTTATTTTTTCTTTAAGACTCTTTCTCTCACAGTCTGACATGTTAAAGAAGTTTATTCTCTAATGGTCTTGTCGAAGACGTTGATTACAAGGTTGACAACAGATTTGATGCTTATTCCTTAACCGGGCATCATATAATTAATTAGGTCTTTTTTCTGTTTCTAATCTTAGGATGCATATAAATGGACTTTGTCTTATGCATTTGACATATTGTTAATTGTTTGGGTAACTAACTCATATCCAATACCAAAGGGCCACTCCTTTTGGAATCTTCAGCAACTTGCATTAGTTCTGATAGAGGCTAATCCAATTTACAGAAATCAATTGTAATTCATTTTCATTGGTATATTATCTCATCTTCAGCAGCTCACCGTCAGATTTCTATTGGAAGGCTAGTATAACATCAGCAGATATTCTTAGTTTTTGGTTGATGGTTTAAACCAACCTCTAAGCAATAATGATAGCTTTAATCTATTACAGATTAAGCTACGACATAAGCTTTCAAAGGCTCTCTGTCTGTACAAAACCAGATATTTGGCTCCTTAAGACTACCGTTTTGAAAATTTCACCTTAGGCATTAGTTTTTTCTGCTCATCTGGCTTGAACATCTGTTTTATTGTGTTGTTTAGGATATCTGTTGATCAACTTTCATGCATCCTTAACCTTCTTCACTTGTGACATTATGGATGTTATCTCTTGCCTAACCTAGATGTCTGTCCAAACTTTCATTGTCCGAAACTTGGATGGCTTGGCAATTTTCTGCTTGCACTTCGCATTTCATTGTTTTTACTCTCTTCAACTCAAAGTAGTTTAACTATATCATTCTTGGGCCTTTTCATCATTTTATTTACATGGCACATTCTCTTCAACCAAAACTGCATTCCAGGGCTCTTTACTTCTAATAGGTTGCTTGTCTTGCATTTAAACGTCTACCTTTATCTCAAATACAAACCTATATACTTCTTCTACGCTTTTTTCATCTCACTCGTATGTGCTTCCTTCAGGATTTTTATTTCCTTTCAAATGCATAAAAGGTGTTTACAATGCATGAAATTTTCCATTCTTAGAGTATAAAGGTTGCAGTGACAGCACTAGATGATCTCACTATAAATAAGACTTGGCTTATTGGAGTCATTAAAATCTTAGAAATTGAAGGAATCTAAGGCTATTCATGTCTTGAAGTTATAAGTTCTCAAGCTATGTGCTTAACTGATAACTCAATCACTTCGAGATATATTTACAGATCTTACTTATTTCTATGTTAATTAAGCATGTATCTGCACAAAAAACATGTATGTAGCACCCTTACAAACAGGGAGGAAAGAAAACAAAAAGCCAGATTAATGTTGAGTGACACATCGTAAATGAAAAGAGGCTCTGCTGGCAGATTTTTAAATGGCTTCGATTTACGAATTGGTCCATCTGTTTAATATACAAAACCATTCGATTAAAACCAGGGGTTTAGTCATTTGCCCCAAATCTGCATAATATTTTGACGGCAATATAAAGCACAACAATCTTGTTATTATCGATATAAAGATATCTTCGATAAATATATTAGATTACTCTATCATAAAGTGGAATAACAAAATGTACGATGAATCATCCTATATCACTTTCTGACAAGATTTTCCTGTTTCCCTTGTAGCCTGATTCTGTCTCAGCAGCCCCAAATGTAAATGTTCGAAACTATGTTCCTCTAGATGTTTTTGGGGGACCTCGGATAACAACATTTGCATCAAGGCGATGGGAGTTACATTCAACTGCTGAAATTCAGGATGCGGTATTGAGTGTTGAAGATAAGAAAAGGTGGGAATCGTGTACGCAAGCTCTGGCTGCAATCGGGGTTACAAACGAGGCAGCAGAGAAAACACTTGGCAAAGCGTTTGGCCAGATTCACTCTCCATACTGGGGCGAAGAACGGAAAAAGGAAGTGCCAAGGATTGAGGTAGTAAATGAAATATTGAATTATTTGAAAGGATTAGGCCTTACGGATGATGATCTTGGCAAACTTTTGAAGAAATTTCCCGAGGTACTTGGATGTAGCCTTGAAAATGAATTGAAAACCAATGTGCAGATTTTAGAGAAGCAATGGGGAATCAAAGGGAAATCGTTGAGAAACCTCCTCCTTCGCAATCCGAAAGCATTGGGTTACAATGTTGATTGCAAGGGAGATTGCATGGCGCAATGCACGCGCTGCTGGGCTCGATTTTAACTTTGTTGTCATGTATATGATTTTATCGATTCAGAGATTTTCTTCTAGACTGATCAATTGGCTCTCTGTTCGAGGGATATGTAAAAATCTGGTTCCGATCTTGTAAGTTCTCCTTATACTAAACAAATGCATACTGGAGGATTTTTATTAGTATAAGTTCTCCTTATGCTAAACAAAAGATCGATAAATTTGAGTTATTCTCTAGGTTTTGTAAATTTCAGATCTTTTCAGAATATAGTACCATAAATAAGTAAAAATCTTGATTAGTTCCTGTAATTGTTGTTTGCAACCACAACTGCCTATTTCTCTGTCACCTTTGAAGATGGATATTTTCGGTGGAGTTAAGTCCCTTGTACGAGGGAGATTGCCAGGGAGACAGGTATCACTTGTGCATTGATTGGGATAAAACTGTTTTCTGTTCAAGATCCAATGGATGCGCTCCATCTGTCCCCGTGTAATGCAGTCTGACAGTTTTTCTTGTACATGTAGCAGTGTTCTTTGGGCAGACATTGAACTAAATGACACCATACCATATAATGATGCTAAACAATTCTGCATCAGTCATTTATTACACAATCAATGAACAGATTCTGAGATCAAATTCCATCAAAATCTAAAGTTCAAGGCTCTCTCTCCCTCTGATTTACTTATACAAATCCAACTTGTGTTTCTCAGGACACTTGAGAGCTTATTTTCATGTGTTCTTAGACTAGCATAGCAGGGACAGGCGCCTTTGTTTCCATAAGTTCCTGGTGGAACACGGTGGCATCTGGCGCAGCAGTTCTTGCATGCTCGTTTAATCGTCTTGAGGACGCAAAACTGCAATCTGTATACAAATTAGGACATGTTTAGTACTTAGAATAGACAAAATTTGAATCCTTCTTCTGTTACATGAATTTGGTGTTTAGAAAGAAAAAAGAAGATGAAATAAATTATAAATTACTGAGTTTTCGAGGTTGGCTTTCCTTGAAAAGAATTCCTACATTTCTTGCTTCACCCTCTGTGTACAAATGGTAGTGTTAGAAACTAGCTATAGAGTAATATTATTGAAACAAAAAACGTCAAAAAATAATATAAGTACAGATATGGTGAGACGTGTTGAAACATCTCGTTGAAATGTTTAAATTGTTGCAATCGTCAAGAATTCATACATATCAATATGATCTTCGGACATGACAAATTTATATTTTTGCCAAACACTTGATGCGTACATGGACTTAAAAACACCCAATTTCTATGCTTAGATACCCCAAAAGTCAACTAAATTTAATGTGTCATTGAGAGAGTAATATGTCAATTTGGCTCGTTGGCTTGGATCGCCCAACCACATGGGCCGGGTCATGTCACAAACCATTTTTGGCCTGTGAAATAAAGGTGGCGAAGGGCAACTTATATATATATATTTTTAAAAAAATAGCCTGCTTGGCCGGATAAGGCCCTAGCCGAAAGTTTGGGTCGGGCCTAGAATTTTTGGTTGACCAAAAGCTCGGCTCGACTCGGCTTCGCTCAAGTTATTGACATCCTTATAAGAGGCCATTTAAAATTTAAATTTTATCCTTAGCAAGACCAAAATAACTTACCAAGTAGGAGAATATGCAGAATCACTGCCTGATATTGATCATGCCTCTGTGAATGCCTAAAAGATTTTATATGGTAGGTCACTGTGCATTGCAAAGCAAGGATTTTTAGATGAAAAACTATATGTAGGGGGAAGACAATGAAGATAAATGAGAAAATTTGCATTTTAGAGGATTTTGCTGAATTCACGCAAAAATTTGAAGGTTTTCACCTGCAAGTTGTCAACTGCAATCATGCTATTTGTACATTTTGTTTGACATCATTGTTTACATTGTGCCAAGTGTCAGCAAATGATTGGACAATTTTTGAAGTCAACACACTTTTCCTCCAAAGCATTTTTTAATTTGCACACAATGTCATCCAAATTGTCATTCATGAAATGTATAAGAAGCTTTATTCTTGTCCTCTATGGACGAACCCATTTATAGATATTCAAATTTTATTTTCTTTTTATACCTTTTGAGGCTCACATGCAATAATTCTATCAAGTTTGAGTGAAAAGGTTGAGCAAGTTTTAATGCCCACCAACTGTTTGTTTTTAAGGTTTGCTTTACTCTCGCTGGCTTTTGAGAACTGTTGATTCTTTGGCTTCTGGATGGGCATGGACAAAAGCAAGAGAGGATCTCTCCATGATAGATAGTAAAGTAAGAATTATCAAGTGAGTAATCCATAACATACTCGAGTCAGAATCCAAAGTTCGTTTTTTCAGACATAACCTGTGCATTGAAATAGGACTTCTCTCTCTTAAGAGAGTAGTTAGTCAGCTCTATCATTTCTCATAGAGAAGGTTCTGGTGGAAGTATAAATAGCTTATACTTATTTTGTTGAATAATGTAAAAGTAGTTCCAATCTATTAAAGATCGTCGAACTGACTTATTGCATTGTTCACTTTCAGTTAGAGTTTTCAAAGTCAAGATGTTTCACTTTAAATTTTTTTACACTAACTCGAATTGGAAAATGAGTTTTAACTATGTAATTGAATTTGTAAAGGTTGCCAGATATAATGTAGAATTAAATAATTTCATTGTTTGGGATTGTTTGTGTAGCTATAGTCAAAGGTTGATGGCCAATTTGCTATAAGACAATAGGTTAGGACCCACTGAGCAATATTCAAAAAAATCCGTACACACTTTGTGCGGGGGAAGAATGAAAATTGGGACCTAACAAATTCATTTTAATTCCTCAACGTGGGAAAATCTTTGAACGTTGATTGCCATTGTATATTGGTTCAATTTATGTTTGTTTAATGTGAAATTTATTCATGGACGTGCCACTATAAGAAGGTTGAGCCTTTGAGTCTAATAAAATTATGGTATTAAGTTAAAACTTGTATATATCATATTAAAATGTTAATTTTATTAAAAGGAGTAGTTCAAAATAACATATATATACATAAATAGATCGACACTGTGAAGGTGCAAAAATTCTCATAACACTGCCCTGATCTCCTGTTCTCAATCAATTCTAGGTTATCTATCAACTAGCTTTTAGAATATTCCCTAAATGACTGTCTAACATTTTAGTACATTTAAAATCTAATTTTTAAATTTTACAAGATGAGAAATTTTATAAATTTCGAGATATTTATTTGTGTAGAAATTACACCCATACTTACTTTTCAACTTATCAATTCAAAAATCAGGTGTAAAGTTTTTTTATTTCAAAAATTAGGTGTATCCTATCCCTACCTACCCAACCACAATCCAGAAGCCCTAATTTATTCTTTTATCCATTCCCTAAGTCACAATCACACCCACACTACCACAATTGCTGCTAGTTACAATTGCCCATCGTCACCACAACATTGTCACGAATACCTACGTGTCGCCACTACATAAGTAGCATCGAGGCACTACTATTGCGATGCTGTTGCGCCATTCGTAGCAGCATCACTGCTATTGCAACAATGTGGTGCCAAGAGAAATTAAGGTTTGGGTCAAGATTTGGGGACGAGGGCTTCTGGAGATGGTGGTGATAGTTTTTGAGTAGGATGAAGAGCATTTGTAAACATTTAATGATTTTGATTTGTGATCAATAAATAAAACGTGGTTGGTAAAATGGATAATTTGTGGTCAATAAATAATATGTGGCCTAAATAAATATTTGATTACGACTAAATTTGTATTTGTAAATCACAATTAGTATCTTTGTGATTGTGACCTCATGCAATTTGTGATTGTGATCATAATTGTGTGATATTAGTGACTTTGACTTGTTAGCAGACCACTTGATTTTTCAAACTTATTCACAAGTTTGTTATCTTTTAAAGTGTATCTTAAACCTTTGTAATTATGTACTCTTTCCATTATTTGTGCACTATATTTTTGAGATTTTATATTTGGGCTTTTGTTGAGCTTCTTCATATGATGTAGCCCAACACTAAACACACTACAAAATCAAAAAATTGTGCTTTGTTATAAAATTGGGAGATAGAATAAGTGGAAATTACAGTCATCTCTAGTTTTCAAATCCCCAATTCAAAGTTAAGATTTAAAGTTTTTTAATTCAAAAATAGTTAATAATACATTTTTTAAAAATATTAATAATAAAGTTATAAAATTGAAAATATCCATAACCCCACCGCCATGTAGCAAAAATCTCACCCATACCTAAAATATTCTCTCTCTCTCTCTCTCTCTCTCTCTCTCTCTCTCTCTCTCTCTCTCTCTCTCTCTCTCTCTCTCTCTCTCTCTCTCTCTCTCTCTCTCTCTCTCTCTCTCTCTCTCTCTCTCTCTCTCTCTCTCTCTCTCTCTCTCTCTCTCTCTCTCTCTCTCTCTCTCTCTCTCTCTCTCTCTCTCTCTCTCTCTCTCTCTCTCTCTCTCTCTCTCTCTCTCTCTCTCAAACGTTTCTCTAGAGGCAAAACCACGCTTAACGACTGTGACCGAGCAGCACAATTGTAACGACATTGATTCGTCATTACATGTTGCTTCCGCTATTCATCCCTCTGCTTCTTCTTGGAGTCATCTTCACAAAGGACACAACACCTCACTTTTGGGGATTTTTTGTGTCTATGGACGACAGTGTGACGAAGCTAGTTGTGGTATGTTGGACTTGTAAGGTTGTGGTAGCATGGTGAATTGTTGTTGTGGTGTGGTAGAATTGTGGATTGGTGGGTTTGTGAAGGTTTGGTGGTTGGTCTGCTATGGATTTGTGGCGGTCATGGTAGCGACGACTGTTTGGGGATTGTTTAGTGGGGATGGTGGTGTGGTGTAGTAAAGATGGTAGCTGTGATTTTTTTGTGATGGTGAGATGGTAGTGGCAATTAGAGCCGGTCTTGTGTTTGATGGGCCTTGAGGCGAACGATGAAAATTAGGCCCCCCAACGACAAAATTCAAAGGTGTATTATGCGACTCGTTGCTAACTTAAAAAACTAACATTAAAATAACAACGAAATATATCATAGAAACGATTTATATTATAAACTATCAAACCAAAATTTTCAAACAATTAGTTAAATATTATTCGTCTTGCTGTTTTAGAGGCAAAAAGATCAATCAAATTTGAATAACTTAACTGCTCAACTATTTCTTTTTCTATTGATAACATAGCAAACCCGTTTAATCTTTCTTGTGACATAGTTAATCGGAGATAGGTCTTGATCAACTTCAATTTCCAGAAACTTCTTTCCGCAGATACAACTGTAACCGGTACGGTTAACAAAATTTTGTAAGCAATATAAGCAATTGGAAAACAAACATCCAATGTCTTCAAATAGTGTAGCACTTCAATTGCTCTTGTTACTTCATTTGGTAAATATCTTCAAGACTTGTAACTCCGAATATAAATCATCTCCACTGATATCCGAAAGCCCATTATGTTCAAGATATTTCTCAAGATTCATACAAGAGTTCAACAAACTTGATAAAGTTGCACTCCTTAACCTCTTCAAATTAAACAAAAATCCAAATATATCATCATATTGTTTGAATTGTTCAAATCGAGTCCTCAGAGAAGATAGAGCTTGATCAATTATAAAAATAAAGTACTCAAATCCAAATGATTCTTCTGCTGATTGCTTTACCTCATTACTACAGTTTTCATCAAATTGCTTTTTTCTTCGAATTATGCGTTTTTCTGTAAATACAGCTTCAATTCCCATTTCGTTTGTCTTTTTTATCGCTTCATCCATAGCAATGGCAAATCCAATTTCTCTATAATCTTCAAGAAATGAAACAAGTCCTTGCAATAGGTCGATAGCATGATTAATATCCATAGATTCGGTTTGAAGAAATTTACTCACAATATTGACTGCATGCAACAACCTATACCAGATTACCATGCCAAGCAAGAACTCAAAATTCTGAAGTTCATGTGTTGCCAACGACTTGACTTTACTCTTTACTTTAGGATCTTCGTTAGTTTCTGCCAAATCAAGTAATGATTCTCTTATCTGTGCAGTTTGCTCCATTATAGGCTTTACACTCTCAACATGACTTTCCCAACGTGTTTGTGACAACGACTTCACTGTCAACCCTTTTACATTATCTTTAAAAATTTGCAATCGCTTGGTAGAAGATGAAAACAAAGTGTAGATGCGATGTATCACTCCAAAGAATGATACAGCTTTGGAACAACAATTCACCATATCACATAACGCTAGATTTAGACTATGAGCGCCACATGGAGTATAGAAAGCTTGGGGATTCATTTCATGTACTCTTCTTTGCACACCTTTGTGCTTCCCACTCATGTTAGATCCGTTATCATACCCTTGCCCTCTAATGTCATCAATATCCAGATCGAGTTTGATCAAAGCCTTTTGAAGCTCGGTTGTAAGTCCAAGTCCCGTTGTGTTATCTACCTTCAAAAATTCAAGCCAATGTTCTTCAATTGTAGGTAAGTTTGCCAAATCATCTACAAATCGTACTATTAACGACATCTGCTCCTCATGACTTGCATCTGGAGTACAATCAAGTATAACTGCAAAATATTTTGCATGTTTAACTTTCTTGACAATTGCATTTCTCACCTCATTAGCTAACAACTGTATCAGCTCATTTTGAATTTTTTTGCCAAGATACGTGTATTGAATCTCTTTTGCATTAGTCCGCCGAAGGTGCTCTTTCATTATTGGATCAAATTCACTAACCATTTCCACCATTTGTAAAAACAGACCATTGTTCTCAACATTTAGCCTCTCATCATCTCCTCGAAATGACAAGGTGTGTTTGGCGAATCTTTTTACAATAGCGATTATCCTTGTTAATACATGCCTCCAATGTTCTTTTTCCGCATTGATCAACAATTCAACGCTTTTATCAATTGTAATTTTTGTTCGAAGCCTATTTTCCAATTCAATCCAACTAGTCATGCAACATAAATGCTCTTCATTTCCTTCATGACTTTTAATAGACCGATGCAAATTATGCCAATCTTTGAATCCATCGTTACCAAGTTGGCCAACTCTGGTAGCGTTTTTGGCTGTTTTAAACAACTTACAACAAAAGCAAAAGATCCTGTCCATAGATATTGAATAGACTAGCCATCTTCTATCAATTGTTTGCCCATTTCGTAGCAATCGCTTATATTGTGAAGAATCAAAATGCCTATTTGTACAATCTTTCGGAAACGAGATATCATCAACTCTTTTTGGACCCCTTTCAAC